TACAAACTTCGTGAATCGGTCATCCCGTAAGTTAAAATTCATAAACATACCCGTTTGAAAAAATGATAAACAAATAAAAGACAGGGATGAACATCTTGGGGTCAATATCATTTTACTTCCTCTGATCAGATATAAGTTATTGACCTCACACTTATTCTTTGGTCAATGTCCAGTTAGAAAAACTGTACATTGAACCCATCAAAACAATTCAATTATATAATACTGATTTCCTGTTTCCTGATTTACCTTTAACATATATTGAAGTGGAATCTGCAAAACAACATATTGACTCACGGGAAACAGAATGACTAATGTGACTATAATAACGGGAGTGTTTGACTTACGTTGGCACAACTGATTAAATACTCCAACATTCTAAGAAGGGGATATCCTTTTAACAAGAAATAGTTCCAAGCTTTTACAGCTGCCTCACGAAAAATCAAAATACCTGCTGTTGTTGTAATGTAAAATATCTAGAAATAGCAGATTCCATAAAAGCAATAAATATTAAATAAAATATAAATTGCAGACTCGGTCTTATTGAGTCTTTTCATGAGAGATAATGTAATGATCACGCATTGTAGCACCGTATTTAAGAGGTATTCTTCTAACACCATATTCAAGCAGTATTAAATCTGCAATACTACAAGTACTGGAATAGATGACATCGAAGGAACAAAACAGAAAAAAACAGAAATTATTAATATATAAACCAATAAAATCATAAGCAATGGACAATGCATGTTTGTTTGTACATTCAACTAAATTACTTTATAAAATCCTTGAAAAACGAATGCTATATTATCTCTCGTGGCTGTAAAGATATGAAAATGTTTCATTTGATGCTCGCTTATTGAACTACATTTCTTCAAACGAACAATCTGTATCTTATCAACGACATATTACCCTCTTAGAAGTAAATTAGAATATACAATTTGGTCCAAAAATGGAATGTAATTCCATAATTATATTGTATACATTTTTCAATAATAGTAAATGTGTTGTGAGTTCAGATTTATTGAACTTCGTTGTTTTTATGAAAGTACTCATTTGTATTTTGGAAAAAAACACAAAGCGTGTAGATAAGTATTTGAATCTATTTTTCTCTCTTATTCCTATTTGAATACAAACACATTTAAAACAAATGATCACTAACAAAGCTTTGAAAAATCAAATACAAATATACCATACATATGTACATATACATGTTTTGAAAATTTATAGTAAATTTATGGTATTAGATGCCTAATACAGAACATCCTTAACACAGCCTAAATTAATCGTCAATATTTTTTTTTCAAACAAGATGGTAAACTTATTTTTTTGTATTTTGTTGTTTAACGATAAAAAGTTTTAAAGACTTTTGAAACATTGTCAGTTATACATCTAATACCTTACATATATATCTTTTTTTTCAATGCTCGAGTTGGAAACTGAACGTAACATTTTGAATTATAATTTACAATGTGTTTCGTTTCTCTAATTTATGTAACCTTGATGGTTTTGCACATGGTTTGACATTCTGCAGCATTTTTCCTTTTGCAGACGATTCAGACAAAAACACGTTTCCACTATTTAGTCGCCGATTTCTGTGTCTAATACAAATGCATGTCAGAACATTCCAAAGTTCTGTTCGGAATGCCTTAGACATACATGCATAAATAAGAAATAGTGCTGGATACGTAATAAATTGCCACAGTAATAGAATAATGGACAAACAACCATGAGAAAGAGGCAAAGGCTTATCAGATGAGTTTACCAATGTGTACGTATTAAGAATAGTTAGGGGTAACTCGTGTACCACAATTATAGTTGAAACAAGAAGAATCAGGCAAGATGTCCGTCGTCCCTCTTTATCAAGCTTTTCTACAGTAGAATCACTTTGTAAACGAGCTCGTGCATGCTTTGCCTTTGAAGTGAAAATGCTGTGTAGTTTGACGCAATTTGCTAATGATAACATAACATCAGATTCTTTACCGTTTGATGCTTCTGGTTTGCAAAGATTGCCGTTCATCCGTTTAGTTGAAAGTTTATGGTTTTCCCTTGGTATAATTTTGTCAACATCTGCATCTTTGTCCAGGTTATCATTAACGGAAATCAAGTTTGAACGGAATTCAACTTTTTTCACATCTTTCTTCTTATTATCAGTTTTAATTGTTAGCTTATCATCTTCATTATGACGCAATATTACACGACTTTTCTTTGCTTTCCTCAATGCTACTAATATATTAATGTTACAACCTACAAGTATAATTGTTGGTAGAAGTGAATCAGTTATTGTCTCAATACAAACATGCACTTTTCTGCCAATACATGTCTTAAAGAACGCACCTTCTGTTTCTAATAACACCCCTCTTTCAGATGTTATGTTTGTTATTGGGTCGAAGGTTGAAATGGTATGAAAGTCAAAGATGAAAAATGACGGAATGTGAACTAAGCACATGAAAAGTAAGATTACCATTATATGCAATATTATTTTTCTAAAGGAGTATAATTGCTTAGCATCAAATGGTGCATTGATACACCTGCAACGTATGAAAGCTAACAAGACCGTCATCCACAAGGAAAACATGTTAAACATATCCACACAAATCTTTCCAAGAATGTATGACCATTTTATTTGTTCAGCAGACAAATAAGTCTTGTAGTTTCCTCTCAAATAGAGATATGAGAATACAATAGCCGGGCATACAATATTGATAATTTCAGCACAAGCTATCACCATCAGAATAAAAGTTGTATTAGACCTCATCCGTTTCTTTAAAAACACTATGATGATCAGAAAGTTTATGGTAGTAACTATCAGAGATAAAATAGGAATGACATATCCAAATACATTCACAGCCAGTTCTATACAATCCTGATGCAAGTCTCTAAATCGGACTGCCACCGGCTCACCGCATGAACTATTCATCATGAAAAATTAACACTGCTTTACGGATATATTAAGTTAATCCTTTTTAAAATATATTCCAGTGCGGGATAAACATCTTTTTTTAAATATATGACATTCAATATAGTTAACTACTTCAATATGTAATTAGATTGTTACACTCGAAAATACTGCTGTCCTCTTACAACAAGTACTGGATGCATTGTGAGTAGTGCTCCCGATTTAACCTTCTCAAAACCTTGTTTTATCGCTCATAGCATGGTGTATGTATATAATTACCTATTGTAAATACGCTGTTTATAGAGGACGGAATAAAGATACTTTATATTTATTTATACATGTATATATGCTTGTGCGTTGAAAAATAATAAAACAAAAACTGTGCTTTAAAGCTAATGAATTTGTAATGTTTATTATGTGTAGCTCAAAATAAATCATGTTTACCATTTGTATAGGTATTTTACAGATTTTTAATAATCCTAGCTCATTACCTAATCTTAAATTTTTATAGGTTTAAATGAAAAAAAAATTTTTGTTCCCATTTATTTGTTGACTACACAATTCTTTTTTTACAATCATTAGAGTATTTTTCAACATATATCTATACGTGGAAATAGAATATTTTTTTCTGGCAAATGATCTTTTGCATGTTTATAAATACAATGTTGTAAGAAGTTATAGGTCAACACAAGATTTTTTTAATACCAAATCAAATATAATTTAAGAACACATCTGAATTTAACCATAACATGGTCATAGATAGAGTCTATAAAAATACATGGGACAATAACACAGTTTTTATTTGAAAACGGAAACAAAAAATGTTATAAATGTTAAGGTAAATAAATGCTTTGTTTATCAAACGTTGAAATGGTATGTAAACTAGGAAACATTGGCAGTATCACAGACGATTCGAAAGATAACATTATATAACATTACATAATGCATACAGTTATAACGCTATTTTATCTCCTGTTATAATAAAATAATTATAGAATAATAACACTTACTAATCCATTACTACTATATGTTAATGTTCGTCTTATAAAAAAACAGGACATAGTATTTTTGTTGTTAATGAATTATTATCACTGTAAAGTTCATATGGCAATGGCAGATCGTATGGCAATTGCAGACCAAGCTATTTTGTTCAAATCTTAGCTTTAAAAATCAAAACAAATAAAGGGAGATTAGAAAAGCAAGCCAGTCAAATTCAGCACCGATACTCGTTAGATTTTTGGAGTTTTAATATAATTATGATTGAAAAATTGTTCCGTTTTTTTTTAGAACAGACACTTGTTATAAAGACAGTTAAAACAAGCATGGCAAAAATCATTTTTTGTCTGGATACGTGCATATCATAATAAGAGTGTAAAATCAAACATTCATAATCAATTCATGTACATTTATATCAATATCGCCGATTCATTTTGATGGTCTATCTTTCACTATAACGTGTATAAGTAATTATTTCAAATACAATCCGATGTACGTAAACCAAAAAAGTAGGAGGATAGATTCGTATTTCTCTCGAACATATTTATTTACCAAGTACTTATATTTCCATAAAACATTTCCTTTGATTGAAGGTGGAACGAAACAAACGTGTGAAGTAGATAATCAGCTGTTGGCCCATTAACCAGATGTCATTACTTTAGACATTAGGCATTACAGATGATTGAAAGCTTTTGCTAGTTCTTGGTCATTAGAAGGTGAAATTGTTTGATTGTTTGATACATTTTTTTTTGTGGATTGACTGACACGTGATGTTTCGCACGAACTAACACATTTAAAATGTTTTAATGAATACTTTTAACCTGCACATGTTTGTTAAAATTATTTGGTTCTTTTGACATATATTGCGTTCCTTTCAAATTTTTTCATGTAAAATGTATATAAAGTTTATACATGATATGACTTATTCTCTTAAAACTCCACTATGGAGTGGCAATATACTTTTTTATTATGACTAAAAAATATATATATTGATTGAAACTTGTATGTATGTATATAATTGATGAGACTGTAATAAATAAATATTTTAAAAAAATATTCAAAATTACCGACAACCTTTCTAAAAATTAAGATTTACAACTGGTTTTTATTTCTGAAAAAATCTCCAAAATTATAAGTTAAGACTTATACGCAATTGTTTTTTCCCTTATGCATGCTAATAAACTGTTTTCGATAAAAGAATTGTCTGAGTGAATGTTATATATTACAAATAATTATAACCGTTTCGTAATTATTTAATTTCATATTATTTATTTGTCATACCAGTTTGATATATTAACCAATAATCTCTGATACTCTGCAAATAAAGAAAAAATAATCATAAATTATAGTGATTTTACTTGCATAAATACAAAATATAAATCATTATATAATCCAAAATGTTTTAACTGATATATGTTCATGAATAACCTTAGTCAATAGCTGTCAAAATAATTGTTTCTATTCAAAATGGACTGAAACGCAATTAATGAAATTGATGTGAATATATTGAAAGTAGATTTCAATCCAATGTTTACTGTTTAATGTTATCATCTATGCATATTTATTATGTATTCATTTTGTATGATTAATAAAATTAAGTACTTATAGTTGAGTTGAATGAAAGGGGAATACGAAAGGAACGCAAGTAATGTTTCTTATTGTAAGTAAATGATCTTTGTAAATTTAATGGAACAAAATGTTAATTGCAGTAAATAAGCTGTCATGTTTAAAAATGGTTTGTTTGTTAGTCCTCTGCTTGTCTTAATGACATAAGCTAGTTAATTAATATTCGGAGATAATCACAAAAAACATACTCCTCAGATTTCTTGCAAATGTAGTGGATCAAGTCTGAACAATGTACATTATTCCATGAAAATCCGTGATGTTCATCTAACAGTGCACAGTTTGCATCATTTTGCGCATTGTCTGGCTTCCCTGATGCCCAATGAGTATAATTATTTTGTCCATTGCTGTCAATCCAAACCCAAGTGCTTTGCTTTTGTATATTGTTCAGTCCAATCCAATATGATGCTGAAGTAGTAAAAAATGCATATTATAAATGGACGAACTTTCATCATATAGCTAAAGCTTATAACTAAGATAGATAGGTTATGTATTTCTTATAAATGTGATTTTTTTACAAATCTGATAAAATCTCGGTAGTGGTATTCTATTCTTGCATTAGGGACAACTACTCACAATGTCTGTGTTAAAGGGCATGATAAGTATTTTAATTTTAATCATCTAAAGAGAATTATTTTTAATAAAATAGAGCCTGTCATTTTCATTACCATTATTTCAACTGGCCAAAGAACGTTGTTACCTTTTCCAATACGTTTACTAAATGGTTTTGATTGAAAACCTTTATTGTTTTGAAAATGTTGATCACTGCATATAGAACTTTGGCAAAAGTGATAAAAACAATACATGTATATACATACTGTCATATAGCTTCGCCTGGGATAAGAGATACATATGTTCGGTGGTGTCTTTAACCTCTACTAGGTTACCATCGAATATCTGACAAATGGTCTAAAATAAATACAATGGGTTTACGATTCATGTTAAAAGTTATTGCTACATACCTACACCATGTTTCTACTTAAATGCAAACAGTTATACTTACATTATGAATAATATTTTTTCATTTAAAATTTCTTAACATAGGAATTGTAAACAATAAACAATATTTATTTGACATCTTAAAAGAATATCCAATGGCAATGGCGTCGTTTTGAACCACGTGATGTTGCAATGGAAATTATTATTAGATCCAAAATTATCATTTACCTAAAAGGTAAACATAGACCGTAGAATATATCACGAACATTATATCAAATCTGGAATAATTATCAACTTCTTAGCTGTTTCCTCTGCAGGTTCAAATGAAAGATTATTTGCGTTGTTCTTGAAAATTTTAAATTCATATTGATAGAATACCTACCAATGCATTGGCCCAAGTTTCTTTATCGTGGCTAAAATGATAGCACGTTGACCGATGTGACACCCAACCATCGGGACATCCACGTACTTCAAAGAGAAACAAATCTTATTCAAGACAAATTGTTTAAATTATGTACATACCTTCTCATACTAAGACCACCATATCTCCACAATTTTTCAAGTGATGATTATTAACATAAAGGTCATTTACGTGCAAAAGTACAAATATTTGTTAAGCATGTGGAAGAATGTTGACCACGTTTTTCTCATATGCAAGATATATGTCGAGAAAACGATACTAATGTAAGTATGGCTTAAACGTTACTACCTCCAGATTTGAGATTTGACTACTATTTGATAATTGAGACTGGTATGCTTGTTAAAACATCAAAAGTAGTATTTTATACATAGAAGCAAATACTTTTTATTACATCCAGTCAAATTGCATCAATCCGATGTGAAAAGTAAAACAGTATTTCGTTATTGTAATAATGAATTTTACCTGATACAGTACAACAGAAAAGAGCGACAAAAATCCTTAGTATCATTTTCATCAAATAAATCTACCATGATAACATATAGGTCATGAACATAACAGTTTGATAAATAAAGATAAGAGCTACGTCAGAAATGTAGTCATTTTATGCATAATTAAAGCGTTGAATGTCTGAATTGCAGACGACTTTTATTGAACGGCTGCAGTCGATTTAAGTGAAGAATTACAAAATGAATATCACATAATATAAGTTACATCTTTATATTTTTCAAAATAACCGTAAAATCCAAACAAAATTATATGTAAAATTTAGTCAAAAGTTTTTTAAAATGAATATAAAACGTAATAGTGAAATAAGTTGGTTTCAAAAAGAAGAAAGCTTAAACATTTTTTTTCTGAGTTAAAGCCCTTTTTGTGCTTTCTCTTTCTGTATGTCAACATTATGTAAAAAAGTGGACCCTAGTTTTCTGGACAATATTTTATAGAGATGTTTCAGTTTAAACGCCCAAATTCAGTCGTGATTTTATTATATAGTATTACATTTAATGTAATGAACCATGTGTTGATGACTAAAGGAACAATATTTGTAGATGGCTTGTAATTAAGTCAAACCATTTATAAAAGAGATTGTAAATGTCAGTTATAATAGAACATATAAAACCATTTGTTTATGTTTATACTTTTGTTTTTGTTATTGTTTATCACCTTCGTACTTTACTTGAACTCTAGGGTAGCTTTATTAATATATGCCGACAAATATTTGTTCTTGATGTGGTTTATTAGTCATTAAATACATGCGTTCAATTTGTAGGTAATTTGTTCCAACTTGAGATAAGAGATCTCAACATTGTGTGGCCAATGGTTTACACAGATAATCTATTTATGAACAATGTACAACTCATTTATAATAATGATGATGTTGTTTCAAGTGCACATGTTAAAGTTGTATAGCATGATTGTTGAAATGATCGGAAATAATCGGACATGATTGGAAATAATCATACATATACATGTAATCATAAAATGTAAACCAAAAACATTTTAACCGTAAGTGTTCATTGTTTCTGTTTTTACAACAAATGGAATCACAATATCTAAAAAAACATATAGCACGTGAGCGTATAACAATAAATTATTAATATCTTCAATTGAGAAAATGGTGCAAAATACAATATAACTGGCTAAAATAGAGAACATTCCCATTTCCCTAACCTGCCATCAATTTAAAAGATACGAAATGAATCAAGGCTGATCTTTGTAGTCGTATTGCATGAGAGAATATAATAAAATATTGTTTGTTCTACTGGATTATAGTTTTAGACGGCAGAAATGAAATTAAACTGAAACGAAATAACAGCGATGTAACGGTTTATCAATTTACAACATGATTTCTATGAGGACATAATGTCTGTACGTAAACAGAAGACGAATAATCTATTTAGATTTATCTCTATCTCTACATTGATGTATAAATTGCTCTTATCTTTCACATTCAATGCGACTCATTAGAACACTCGATTTTATGTACAACTTTATGATTAAAAGGATGTTTTCATTTAGTACAAGTGTGATCCTACTCTTCAGCTTTAATCTAGGTAATATATTTAAACTATGTTCTTTCAACTGCGTTCTAACTAAAATGTTGATAGTAAAACTTCTCTCCGAGATAGTTTATGTAACATTGCCTGTATTTGATTGTGAGTGTACCTATTTTGAATAACTAAATTAATGATAATAATAATGATTTTAAAAAAACAACAAAAAAAACAAAAAACGAAGGCGGCATCACACCGTACAATCAAACCGTACGGCAGACAACCGTTAAACCGTCAACATATCCAAAATGTGTTCGAGTAAATCATTTTTATGGATTCATAGTCAACAGCCAAAAGAGTATGCTAACAAATTTCTGGCCTTGTGCAGGCTTAACTTTACTGAAATAACCACACTTGCCGTTGAGACGCGTCATTGTTTAAAACAGTCACAAAAACTTATATTTTCTCATGATAATAAATCATTTTAAGATACAATTCGTTACGTCAACATTTTGTCATTAAATATTCAAAACCATACTTCAATCAAAGGGCTGCAAGCTCTGTGGTATTTTCTTATCCCTGCAATCTAAATCGTACTGTATACCTGTATGTGTTTTCCTGTATAAGTTTATTTTTATGTACTATAAGTCATCTTGCAGGGCACCAGAGTTTGATACATACGGAATTTTGCATAACTAGAGTTGCATTAAAAATAATTCATGTTCATTTTTTATGATAGCCACACTTTATCCTTGCATATCGTGGCTATTTCCTTAACAAAGACACTAAAAAAGAATTTAAAAAAAGTTGACTCGACTGGAATTTGAACTCCAGACCTCTCACACACGAAACAAGCGTGTTACCCCTGCACCACGGAGAAGTTTTAAAATCAAAAGCTTAATAAAATCAAGTCATTCTAAATTTAGAATTTCCATTGCATTTCGGGTTAGGGTAATTTCGAGGTATTTTGTTCAGGGTAAACCTGTTGTTTAAAATTGAAGTAAATAAGTTAGCAAAATTTCCCCGCCCAAACAGTCCGACATGTAGAAACTATATATTCCACTACTCGGCAGTCAGATTTATTTGTGTAGTATTCGGTAATCGACATCGCTAAAAATAGCATTTTCATTGATTAAAATCATATTCATCCGCGTAATTTGTGAGTGTGCATTTATTGACAACTCTATTAGCCAACGCTACTTTAAAAGTTTGAAGGTGTAGTAATTTGTTGGACACTTGTAACAAAAAATTGTTCTTTCTTTAAATTGCTGGTTTTTAAGCAGTTTTGAGTGAGAACTAATTTGCGTTGTTAGGACTGTTAGGAAATTTTGTTTTAGACCGTGGATGTATGTTAGCTATGTATTATCTGATCTGCGATCAGAAAATACTAAAATGCTTTTCTTTCGAAGATATAGGGTATTTAAGTTTGAATATCTTCAAAATTTTAGTTACGGTATCAGCCGTTAGCCTCTTTTTAATGATAACATCGACATCCACTCATCAGCAAGAATGAATAACGCTGAAAACCGTTCAACGAAACAATTTTCAGGGCTTTTGCGCTATAGTAACTAGGAAAGAGTTAAACTTTTTTATTCATTAAAATATTGATTAATTCATGGTACTTTCTAATAGACCTGGTGCCAAATACCGAAAAATTGACACCAATGTATGAATACATTTAATGGCCGTATGTTCATCGGAAAATTTACTTTTATACGATGCAATTCCATTTTTTCGTCAGATTTCTTTTGTTATATGTATCTAGTATATTAATTCCCGTGTTATTTTCATATACTGACAAAATACCACTGAGGCATTTGTTAGAGTTGTGATTAAGGTCATCAGAAAATATTTCACTTTTTCATGGACATTTTAAATCATAAACTGATTTTTGTTTGTAGTATATTCCCTAGTAAGAATTTTATAATATTTTAGTTTTCAGTTGCCCGGATGGATGGCTTTCACACCGATCGTCATGTTATCACTTCAGCCATGACAAAGAAGCTTGGGCAAATGCTGTGGTAGGTTGGTTTTACAGTTCTATACTCGGCAAAAGTCAATTCATAACACAACAATAAACGTCAGCTCTGCCTTAGTGAAGTTGAGACATATTTCAGCTAACTCGTGAGAAACGTTCTTGCAACCTATATAAACATCTTTCCAGTCCGTTTGAACCACTGGAGCTAACAGTTCCGGTGTTAATTCAGATAACTTGATCTTTAGCTGAATTTGGTTTGAATACATGAAAACTTATTTGAACTGTAGGTACCTTAACCACCCACTAGACCATCGCATCAGTAGCCAGCAAAGCTGAGGAAAGCAATTGCTTTGGTGTTTAAACTACTATATATAGTGTACTAGAGCAGTTTATGATAATGCTACAGCGGCTTTGATATGGTTTCAAAGATAAAAAAATATTTGCTTTCTCTTAAACGCACAGCACTTAAATATGTCTCAACGTTGACAATGAAATAAACATGTTCAAAACATTATTATTTGTTAAAAACAATACAAGAAATGACTTTCAGTATTTGTTACATTTCCAATGATTTTGTTTTTATTGATATGACTGATGTTATTATGATATATTTTCAGTCACTATGCCAAGTACTGGGAGGTCATCTTGTTGAAATAGAAGACGCCACAGAAAACAGTTATCTTGTTTCCCAAGCAAAACTTTACAGCAGTAAGTGACAATTCCATAAGTGGAGTTTGTTTTCTAAAAAAATACTTGCAGTGTTCAACCGGAGCATCCTTCTTGAAATGTTATTCATTTTAAATATTATGTAATAACGTTCGTACACGACTAGTTTAATACCATTTTCGTTTTCCAGTACATGTATAGAAGAAAATAAGATTACAGTATCTTTGTTTGTTAAAGCATCTTTGGATAGAAATTTATTTTTCAGATTCATATTGGATAGGACTTAATGATTTACAAGAAGAAGGCACGTGGGTTTGGGTAAACAGTAATACGATGGCTTCGTTTACAAACTGGACAAGAGGACAACCGGACAATGACGTTAAAAATGAAAACTGTGCTATCATTCAAAAAGGTTACAATTATTTATGGAATGATGGGAAGTGTTACACCGCATTGAACTATATATGTGAGAAAACCGCGGAGTAAGTGCTCTAATGATTAGTTTCCTTAAAAGTAAAGCTTAATATACAAACAAAGATAGTCAAAAATCTATTTTTATTGAAAATACATGTGAATGTTATATTTATTAAGACTTGTATTTTTTTTTGTAAATTCATTATGTCTCAAAAATCCATTTTTAGAGTTTCTTTTTGACAACAATCCTATATATACGATAAAATTAAATGATATTTCGTTGTCGTTTTGCAAATTTACTCAGCAAGGTCATATTAAATATCAATAAAAATCTCTAAGGAGGCTGTTCAGTATTTTGCATGTAAACGCTGTTGTCCATTGCTTATTGGGACAAAACAAATTTATTTTTTAAGCATATGGATGTTATAACCTTCTGTGATATATATTGCTTATCTTCATATAGACGGCTTGTGTATAAATGTCACAGATTTATAGAAATGATATGAATATGACAATTTATCACATTGATTAAGGCATTATACTTATTCAATTAAGTGACATTATGAATTGCTTAATGCTTATACTCAATGCACAACTTTGAGAGATCTTTTTTGTTAAGACATGAGTTTATGTTTTGGTTATTTTTCAGAAACGTCAACATAGTCGGATAGAAGATTATCGATGAAAGTTCTTGTCACTTTTCTAACGGTGGATTTTGTTCAAATTTGGAGTAATATAATATAAAATATCAGTATTTGTGGACTTTCTATATGTTTTCAAATATCCCAGATAACTTATTTACATTACAATAAATGACATAGCAACACATGTATACGTCGCATTTGAACATGCGTGTTATTTTGTTTTGCTTGTTACACTCTATGCTTGTGTATTTCATCGTTTTCACTGATTACATTTGAAGCAAATTTAACTTTGTTTTAATATTTTTTTCATTGCGCAAAGTACTTCAACTAAATGCCTTTACCACCTATCAGAACCTCAATTAGCCGAGAATGTTCCATCAATATAATTGATTTACGGTTTTCATTTTATTTAAGTTAGAATGTTGTTAAAGTCGGTATATTTTGTTCATACAGAGATACAATGTAAATATTTATAATTGCATCTCTAATACAAAATCCATTGTAGTGCAGACGACAAGTCATCTGGGAATAATAGTTGATTACGTATGTCTGATATTTCCGTGAGTAGAGAATTAAGAAGTGTCAAAATAAAAGCTTTACTAGCGTGCATTCATTTGGTTACAAAATTACACAAGTGCACATTAAATGAGTTCAGAAATTACATTAGGATATTCAAAACAAGAATCAAAGTGTACCGTAAAATAATGTCAAACATATTAACACTCTTTCAAATGTTGATTTGTATTATATTATAAATGTACATGTATATTTGTTTCACGGAGCCTTACTGTAAACATTGAATATATATTTATTTTATTAAAATTATTTCATAATGTGTTACCATGTAAAATAAACAAATTTACCAGATTACATTCGCAATGTATTCCAATTTTTATAAATTAAATCCTTCTGATGATTCTATTATAATCAATTAAAAGTAATTTTATGGTCGTCATTCATAATTAAGAAATTAGTATTAGTTGACGAAAATGTCAATTAAAAGCAGTCTACATTTAAGGATAGTGTTAATAACGGTTATTTCATTTATATAATAAAAACATCTGAACACCCCCAACGATTAAACTGTTCTTAATTTACCGCCTTAACACTCCACAAAACCCTTAATGCCTTTTCATTATAAACTTGCCAAGGGCCATCCACGTCTCATTCGAATACTCTTATCTGATAGATCTTTTAACATAGCTCTGACACACATGTTTAAAAACTGTTCTTTTCTCAAATTACAATTATGACTTTAATTTTAAAATATTGGTCATCAGGTCGATAGACAAAGATATTTGATCAATCGAAATCTTGAATTCCTGAAGGTTGGTAATTCTCTGATAATTCTTGATATTTTTCAATCGCAATGAGAATAAAGGAAATGAACAAAACGTCCAAGTTTAGGTCTAAATGTTAAATCCGTCAGTAGTTTTATAAATATTGCCTTCGTGGTTAATTAGATATATCATTATTATGTTTTAATGTTGTTGCTATCTTTATCATTTTTATCATTATTATTATTGCTATTATTATTATTATTATTATTTATTATTTATTTATTTATTTATTTACTTATTTATTTTCGTTAAACCTATCCATTTGTTATACTTACTAGCTCGCACATAGTATTTGATGTAACGGAAGTGACTTTGCATACATAGTTTGTATCATACAAATGTCATGTGTAATTTGAATGTGATTATCTAGCAGATAGATACGGACGTTATGCCAAAACTATTAACTCATTATGTTGTAATTATTAATAAAATAGAAACAGTTAACATACAGTGATTATCTTCACCTACAATCTGCTACATATGCTAATATCAATAATACTTAAATGATAAATCTTAACTTTGAACATGACGAGAAACTAACAATAACTCCTCTTGTCAGGTATTAAGAAATTATTTATTGTAATTTTCATTTCTTTTCCTCTTTTTTCGTATCAATTTATAATATAATCATTATCAAAAGTACTGTTATTCAATATGAATCACATAGCTTAAATAATACTTTCTAAAATAACACAGGTAGTGAAACTGAAAGTTCAAGTTTGATTTTATTATAAATATACATACATTTTGATAACCTTAGAATTGCTTTGTATTGCGTAATATATTATTGATGCGTAGCCGATTTATACATGTTTTCAGTAAATTATCAGTAACGATGTGCCATGATTCTCTGTGATTAACTTATCAACGTTTTTGTTACTGATGCAATGAACATAGACGTTTAACCGTAACCTTGATAAAATATATTAACGAAAATATCTCGTTGTATTAACAGTTTCTTTTTGACAATTATTCATACATTTGAATTTTATTCCAAAAGTTGTTAGGCCATGATTGAGTAAAATGTAAAAGAACACGTTGTGCAATTACTTATCATAAAATATTTTCAGAATAAATGTTATTAAAGGCATAGCTTTTGAGGAAAGGAAAACATTTTTTTCTGGCGCATAATGGGTTACTCTTAGGCAGTCTGCTATGCTAAGCGACTGTTACATTATGCTCCGAGTAATATGAGGTTAACAGCTACCGTTTGATGGAGGTTTGGTGTCATTTACCGAGAAATAAGTGGTCAAAGGAAAGAAATGCGATGCTTTTATTCCACAGTAAATGAATAAACAAACACCTGGAATATTTATATTACACCTTCTTCTAAATAAAAACCTCACCACCTCATTGTTTTGTTTGATGTACAGTACTGTTTCGTCCTGTTTAATTTCTAACAAACATTCGTGTTAAATCAAATAGGTAAGGAAAATGGAGAAAATGTTTTGAAGTTGGTTTGTAAGCCTAAATCAAAGAAAAAGTACACAAATAGAAAAATAAGCAAATCGCACCATTCCTTATACAGCAACAGAGTGTAGCGGAATAAACGTAAATAAATTAAGAGCTGAGCTGTGGTATTACGTGTCCTTCTTTTGGAAGAAAATAGTTAAATATGTTAATGACATTTAAATTAAATTTAAACAAGACACAACAGAAATAGTATCAACATTTGTCTTAAATAATATTTGAAATTTCATTATTTCTTTGACGATATATATTAAAAAATATTCATACAGCTTTTGTATCTAAAAGAAAAACACGAAATCTAATTTTAATTGATATTATTCGCTATCTACGACACTATTAACGAGAATAACCACTTCTTTTAGTTTGGTTGCAAAAAGTTTTATATAAATAAAATAATTGGGAATCGCCGAATCTAATCTAGAATTCAATCTTTGAACTCTGATAATTATATTTTAATAGGTAATTGGTCCATCTTATCTTTTCCTGATACAAAAATCAATACGCAAACCAACAATCAATTCAAATTAAATTCTTCAATATTGCCATGGAGCATGTATAAGATTGGACAGGAAAACGACAAATTATAGTTTGTTCTTCAGCTGATGTGTCAAAATATACATTCACACATGAACATGTTCCATTATACATGATGCAGAACGTGCAAGTACGCAATGAAATCAAATATGTTTGATAGTATATGATCGAAAATCACTCCCTAATAAAATCATAGATTACAAAATTGGTTTAAGAAAAATCTTTAACTCAAATCAAGATTGGCCGAAGGATCATCTGATATTCAGCGTGATATACATGTATAATAAAAGCAGAACAAAAATATAAACAAAATAAGGTTAATATTTGATGATATTTTAATATTTAATCATTAATAGCATTATTATCATTTATTATCATCATTATGATTATAACTATAGATCTGTATTCACTTTGATTTGACATTTACCAAATGGTCATTAATTACAAAGAAGCATAAGGTAAGATGTGTCACAAAGTTAAAATTAACATATACACGTACAAGTTCGTAACAAATCCAGAAAATAATTGTCTATTCCTAAAGAGAATATAATGTAGATGTTAACAGCCACAAAGATTTGATTTTTGATTCTATGTTATTAGATTTCCCATATGAAATCCATTGTAATATATGCAATATTACACCTGGAATAAAGTATATGATTATTAATTTTACGTCTGATGTTTCCATAAGTGTTGATGGTTAAGACATTAGTAAATACGCATACACCTCTGTTAATTAGCAAGTGTCAGAATATGGCGCGTACTCTTTCAGATGATTAGGTTTTTAAGGATATTCCTTGATAGCATAGTTAATAATGTAAAAACAAACTTAAGTAGGAGCAACACTTTTGTGTGTGTGTTTGCGTGCGTGCGTGTGTGTGTGCGTACGTGTGCGTGCGTACGTGTGCGCGCGCGCGTGTGTGTGCCATTTTTAGAGGGGATTCTGGACATTTAACTGCTCCAAGTTTGTTTCTGCTGCAATATGCATTTAAAACTCTTTTGATTGGTTACATGGGAGTGCCACTATCAATTAACAATTAGTTGCCATTAGAGCAGGTTAGACTCGAGAACAATCGTTTAAGGTTAAGACAGTCATTACATAGCAATGCTTATTTATAGAGAACATTTGGGAGAAATTCCCAATCTGACTAAAGTTCAGACCAGCTTATTTTTACATGTAGATCTGATTTCGCTTTGATTGTGATTCGATTTCACGAGAAAGTTTTTTAGCAATGCAATCAAACCGTCCTTGCAGGTAAGCAAAAGACGAAATATCCAAATATCGTTGTTCGTGGAAGTTAAACACATTTTGAAAAAACAATGTTTGAAGTTATGCGAAACAAATAAACTGGAAATAATAGACTCAATTTGTAATGATCAATATTGTTTTGCAAGTTTACCTGCCGGCTCTATGCACAACGCCATGTCTGTTCTCTAATTATGAAAATTACCTACTCAATATTATTTTTCAAGCGGTTAGAAATAGAAATCGCATTGCTTTCAAAATTATGAAAGCTCGCCGATGATTGACTGTTTAAAAGGATACGAGAAGGTGACAACCTATTGCAGATCGTCATATCCTAATGAGTTGCGTTATTTAGGTGCTGACTTTAATCAGATTGAAGAAATTTCTACAAAAATGGCTACCAGAGACCAATTTTAGAAATATTATATATTTTTAGCTAGTTTTTATTTATTTTTTTTTGATTTGCCATATTCCTTTCATATCTAAAAAAAATGTTAGTTTCAACAATAAAAATATA